CATCCAGGAAAGCTGAGGTGATTGACTGGGAACTCTACCTCAGCCTCACTCCTCTGTCTCAGAAAGCCCACTAAGTGGCAGCCCCACCCCCTGCCCCAGAGGAGGTCAAGGCCACCCCTCCAGGGTATTCAGGCCCCCACTTTTATAGACCTGCCGGATGATTTCTCTCCTGCTTCCTTTCCCGAGACTCACCCGGGAGTTTCTTTGCTCAGATTAAACCTGGTCTTTCATTTGGCTTGATCTGGCTTACTACATCAGCAGAGAAAGCTAAAGTCAGGGTACACACAAACCTATCAGGCCTGTCTCCCAAATAGAAGCCACTTACGGAAATAAAGCATATGATGGCTCATGTCTAGGTAGATTTGCAATTGTTGAACATGCATTGTCTTCACAAGCTCCCATCGACACTGCCTCTGGCACCACCTCCACTCGGGTAAAGGAAACATACAACTCAGAAAGTTCTCAACTGTGGTCCTTGGCCACACCTGCAACTCATTACAAATGAAAGTTCAAAGGTCTTGCCTCAGATCTACTGAGAGAGGGACCCCAAGGCAGACCTGAGGATCTGGGGTCCCTGGACAATTCACGTGCAGCCTTGTCTGCAGAGCAAGGCTTTGAGCTCAGGACTGGTCTGGCCCTGATTCTCTGAGGCTTCCTTCCACCTGCCCACCCCTGGGCAACAGCAGCAAAGGTTTTAAACTCACCAGTAAGCAATAACAGTACCAATGATAAGTTAATTTTTAGGATATGACAAAAAGCTGTGGCCCATCCTCTGTGAGGGGAACACAGTCTGGTAAGGGGACAAATTCCAGACTGACCAGGCCACTTTTGCAGTGGTGTTTAGTGCTATAGTGTTAGGCTAAGTGACAGAGGACCTGTCTATGAGTCATTGCACGGCATGCACGCTTCAAACAACAAACATCCCCCGTGTCCTTATCACAACCAAACAAAATTCACACACACAGGTGGAGGGCTGGCAGCGAACATCAGGTCTGAGTCTGGCCAGCATAATGTCAGAGAAAAAAGAAAAATCCCAGAAGCCAGCTCTTACAGAGCCCTTGGCAGGAAAACCACAGAGAGGGGAATTTTTAAAATGTGGTCATGGGGCCTGATGTGGGAATTGTACCGTGTGCCATGGAAATGGTTTACAACAGAAGGAGAAAGGACGCAAGCTTGAAGGAAGGTTCCGGCAGTGGGACAAAAAGACGCCAGGGCCTTCGTGGAGGAGCTCTTGAATTCAGTTTGCACTTGCCACAGAAGGCTAGAGACTCGGGGTCCAGGAAGGCCGGCCGGGGCATTGTGGCACCATCGGCACACAGGGACCCTTCTCGCAACCTTTGGCAGGTTGGGGCCAAACAGCTAATTTCTTCCGTTGCCTCTGCTGGTTCCATTTCTGTCTACCTATTTTCTGAAGGAAGCTGAGCCTGCTCACACCGGCGATGTTTCCCTGTTCAAAAGAGTCATGTTAATAATAAAACATGGACTAGAGATGTCGCTCAGCCTGCCAAGTGCTCACCTAGGACACACAGATCCCTGAGCCCCCCTCCGGGACCACATAAGGCATGATGGACGGCACATGCCTGTAATCCCAGCTCTCAGGAAGCTAAGGCAGAATGGCTGCCACAAGCCTGAGCCCAGCCCAGATGACCTAGCAAATTCCAGGCCAGCTGGGGCTACCCTGTCTTAGAGAGAGAGGAAGAGACAGAGATAGAATAATACCAGAGACAGAACAATGCCAGATCCAGAGTAAGTATCTCTAACTCATGTAAAAAAGTAAGCTAGCCATTCCCACCGTCACTGTTGGAAATGTGCAAAGGCAGCAATGAGGGAGCATCTTTAAAACTCAAATGCCAAACACCCTAACAACTCCATGCCTGACACATTTGTTTCATAACACACACACACACATGCACACACACACACACACACACACACACACACACACACACACAGACCTGTTCACATAGTTCACAGCAACATTTTTCTTCTAAAAGCCCCCAAGTTCAACAGAAGGGTTGAGTGATGGTAGTGCATGCTAGGAACGAGAAGGACCAGGCTCTCATACAATAGTGGCGTGCAGGGGACCAGATTAAAGGAGGCAGACCCAAAAGCTGACACACTGCAGGGTTCCATTTATATGCCATTCAAAAGGGAAGAATGGGAAGGAACAAAGCAAATATAAAGGGCAAAGGAAGACCATGGTTGTCTGAGGCCTCAACCCAGAACCCTCCTGCCTCCGCTGCCGGCACAGCAGCAGGGTTATAAGGACCACCACACCTGTGGAAAGTTCTGTGTCCTGCATGTGGTAGCAGCTTTAAAGATGTTTCCATTAGACAACACTACGTACTTCAGTGGATGTGTTTTGTTGTATGCAGATGAGTCCCAAAGAGATCACTCAAGTTACCCAGAGTGCCATAGGGTGCCCAGGCTGGTCATGCTCCTGTTCCCCCATGCCACAGGCAAGGCCCACAGCCCACGTAAGAGCTGAAACACGAGCTTCTGCAATCACAACTTTTGACAAATAGGAGTGAATGAAGACAGATGTAAGGAGAAGCCACCCCTTCCCCAGCTCTCGGTGCCCCAGATGATGGACGCCTGAGGCAGAGTCAGCGCGCCCACCGCGTGATCTCACAGCTCATGGTATTGCCTGGGTTCCTGGCAATCCCCAGGACTGTTCCCGATTTCCCCCGACCCCACCCCCTCCTCTTCTCCCCACGGGGTCTAGCCTGGCTGAGGCCACCTGGTCCTTATGTGATGACTGCAATGCTGTTCTCTCCCTTAGTGGTACCCATCATTCTCCCTAAACTCAGAAACGTCTTCCCAAAATCCAGCGCTGTTCATCTTCAGGTCTCTTGAGAGACAGCCTGAATTCATCAACTCAACAACTAACACCGAGTGTGTGAGAGTGTGCGTGTGTGCGTGTTGCCCTGTGTGTGTGAGATTGTGAGTGCATATAGAAGCCATAGGTCAATCTTGGATGCTTCATCCGTGTCTCTCCACTTTGGGTTTTGACCTACGGTTTCTCATTTTCACCTGGAGCTCACCAGTTCAGCCAGAGGACAACAAAGGCTTCTCCACCACCACCGTGTCTGGTTTTGGGATCGAACACTTGACTGACTGACCCATCTCACCATATGACTGCCACTCCCTGTCCGAACCCCACTGGACCACTGCAGCTTCCCACATAGACCGTGGTACCTCTGGGTTTGGTCCGCTCACTCCGTCCCCCCTACATCCTGGAAGGACAGTGCCTTCCTTCCTACCCTCCTCTGATTCTCTTTTGCCTGGCTAACTCCAACCACATGGGGAGGTCTCAAACTTCCCAGCTGAGGAGACCTAGGTTTGACCTTTGCCCTGAGGGTTCCTGGCACCGAGTTTTCAGCAGGAGCCAACTGAGACCCCTCCTCCTTGGCTGCAAGGGCAGAGTGTACCCAGGTAACCATCAAGAAGTCATGGGAAGAGGAATATTTAGAGGAACTTCACCTGTAACAGACAGAATCTGGGCTGAACTCAATATCACTTCACAGGTGAATGAGAAGCAACCTGTCATCAGCCACGTCCTGGGCTGTCGCCACACACCGGCATGGCACAGCCACACTGAGTCAGCTGTCACACTGGCATGGCAGGCCAGCTCAAGGGCGCAAAGGAACCCCATGAGTAGGAGGGGCCAGGGTGGAAGGAGGGCAGACTGGGTGATTCCAAATAAATAAAACTCCAGGAAAGCACAGGAGAAAGCAAATTGGTGGTTGTCTGCGATGCAGAGTCAGGGCAACGGCAGACGATGACATCCTACGGCTCACGGCGGTGACCGTGGAGGCGGTGACCGTGGAGGAGTGAAAAGATGAGATTAAGAATAGGAGTCCCCACCCAGGACCCAGCACATAGCAGGCTTTCAACACGTGTTCGCTTGTGCCTGAGAGTGGAGAGGGCTCAGGGTGGCTGCAGACACCACCTAGGACAAGTGGGAGGACCCTGAGTCACCCGTTCACTAGCCACCCTCCAAGGTCACCAAGGCCCCGCCCCTTAGGACAAGCCCCTCTTAGTGAGTAAGAAAGGAAACAGCTGGCCCTCACCCTGAAGGAACACAACAGCTTCAAAAGCTGGGGTGAAACCTTTTTTGGGATGAGTCAGCAGAAGTTGGGGCTACAGAGCAGGGGAACCCTGAGTGGACGGCAGAGAAGGAATGGGTCCAGCTTGGCAGCAACTTGGGAGCAGAAAGGGGTAGGGCTACACAGGATAGCTGGGAACAGAGGATCCTGCGAGATCACAATGCACCCGCTATGGACACAGTTCTTCATAAGACACAAAGGGGTCGGGCAGTGATGGCGCCTTTAATGCCTTTAATCCCAGCACTCGGGAGGCAGAGGCAGGAGAATCTATGAATCTGAGGCCAGCCTGGTCTACAGAAGAGTTCCAGGATAGCTAGGGCTACATAGAGAATCCCTGTCTCAAAAGCCAGAATAAATAAATTAACGAGTTAGGAAACAGGGAAGAAGTCCACAAAGGCAGTACAAAGTAACGTACAGCCCAGAACACGCTCAAACTTCACTACTTCTGTCCCAAGAAACCTGCCCAGGAGTCGAGTCTGGTCAGATGTGCATCTTACACAAACAGGTCCTACTTAGAGGGCAAGCTGGCACTTCTCAGAGTCCTGAGGCCTGCATCCTTCACCTGTGATGTCTGAGGGAATCACCAGATAAGCACATGAAGACTAATGCACAACAGTGCTAACCACAACATTTTTATATCCCAGATCCCAAAATAACTTGAGTCCAATAAAGCAGGCTGCTACATGGACCATAGATCACTGAGTGATGAAATCACATCAAGCCACCAAGTCCTGCTTTCGGAGCACATGGAAGGCACGCTGCACGCCTCACTCTGCACTGTTAAGTTGCTGAAGACCAAGATTCAGAATTGCATACGGTTGAGATTTCGTTTCTCAAATATTATCCACTAAGTGCCAGGCTCTGCCTACAGAAAACAGGCCTTGTACTCACCGGCAGTCAGCGTGGTGAACTCTAGGAAGCGGTATTCATAGGTCACATCTACCTTTGTCTCCACCTGAGGTCTCTTGAGAGTTGAGTAAATGTTCCCAGGCCGCGTCTCTTCATGCTTCTCCAGCTTGTTCAAACTACAACCCATTTCGACAGCTGACCACAAAAGGGAAACAAACGGGGAGATGGAGATGTTTCATCAGTAATTTTGAAACACAATAGCATAAAAGACCCCCAATTTTCTGGAGGAATACATCAAAGGCCTTAGTGCCCAGGAAATCACACTTGTGATTTAATACAGCCTGAACACAGGGGACCAGGACACTTCTCTTCCTGTGAGGAAGCCATTACCAGCCATCCTGGGAGGTCTGGGTGACCCCCGAAGTGTCCCTGCCTTGTATCTTGTCCCCTCTCTCTGAGGAAAATAATACCTTCGAGTAGCCCCCTCCACTGCCATCTGTACACATGATTCAAAGAATAGGGCCTAAAAAGCCATAGCGTGCATTATGTTGTCAGCCCGTCTACAGAAATACAAGACACGTGTCACCTTCCCCATGGTTGCTAGGGGAGAATAATAAATTGTTGTTATAGTCTCTAAAGTCTGGCATCATTTCTCCCCTCAGCGGTAATTATTTAGACAGGAATTGATATTCAAACATGTTAAAAAGTAGACGTCGGTATTTTTATGGGCCTTGTCTAATAGAGTTGCCCTTCTTTTTTAGACCAAACAGGAGGAAAGAACCGTAACCATAGCCCCCCCCCCTCCAGTCACATCGGGCTAAAATGGGCAGGGCCATGAGACATCAAGTAGTATCTGCACATGCTGGCGAATCAGTGGCCTCGGCATGCGAAGGAAGTGGAGAAATGGGGGAACAATGAACAGGGAGCAGGGTTCCCTCATTCTCTCGCTGAAGCGAGGGCCGCTCTTCCGTTTATTGGGGCAGAATGACATCTACACAGTGTGTGCCCTTTACACCCTGGGCACCAACTGTTCCTCCTCTCTGGGACACTGACCTGCCACAGAAAATGTTTCCCTAAAATACAAAGTGGCCGAGGGAATCACGCATGCACAACGCGCATGCACAATGCACATGCACACACACACACACACACACACACACACACGCACGCACGCACGCACAAACGCACGCACGCACAACGCGCATGCATATACATGCACGCACCCATGTACACGCACACTCAGGCAGGGACTACTTCCTCCAAAGACAAGGATTTCCTTCAATGATCCATTCATAGGGTTTCCAGCTTCCTAAAGCAACTTGGCAAGTTCCAGAAAAACAAACTGAACTTCAAACAAAGCAATAAAGGCACGGGGTGGGAGAATGGACAGAGACACGTGAGTGGCGCAGCCATAACCAGCCCCTACTGTGTAGTAACTAAAAAAGAAGTCAGAGAGGATGGACAGGAGCTGGAAGGCTGACTTATGCCTTAATCAGTGTCTGAGAACCAGAGAGTGCATGATTTATGTGCAGTCGGAGTGAACTGATAACTTGGAAACGACTCAGTCATTCTGCACACGCAACAGCTGTGTGCAGAGGCTGCTGGAGGAAAGCAGCTCCTGCCATGTGCAGGGGAAGCAGAAAGCAATGGAAGGAGCCTCCTGAGTGCCGGTACCAGTGCACCTGGAGAGCACTGGGAGCACCAGAACAGGACCACAGAGAGCCCACAGCATCCTTCATTGCTGCCCATTTCCAATAGTCAAGCCTGTTGGAAAGGAAGGGCTGTGGAGCTTGGATGAGCTGCAATGAGCTCTGCTGCACAGATTTGGGTATGCAGCGCTGACAGAGACCCCCGCAAGGGTGAAGGGATGAGGTGCAAGAGGAAAGGCAGGCTGTGGAGTCTGTCATCCTAGGCCTAACGGGTCAGAAAGCCAGAGTCACTTGCTCTAAGTGCCTTTGAGAGACATACAAGATGGTACCTTGTCCTCCGAGGAATGCAGTCCTGCCTGAGTAGACGCGAGGACTGAGCCCCTGTTTAACCCCCTGGGAGCAGCCTTCCCAGCACACCACGCAGTGCTGCATCAGTGGGAAAGACCAGCCAAGAGGATGGCGCCCCAGCCGGCCATGACTGACTACAGAGTACTGCACAGCAGCATGGAGGGGACACGCAAGGGGTGATCTAAACACACAAGGAGTCCAGAGAGAGGGTCACGATTTCAGGTTCCATCTGTCTGTTCTCCCCAGCACATTTGGAGTGCGGAAGGACCCAGAGACTGGCTGAGCTACCTGCCACTTGTACACTGTGCTGGCCAACCAGCTCCAACCCTCACTACATAGACACTTAGACGGCACAGCACAGAGCTCATACTGCCATCACTCTCACCAAAGCAGAGCTGGGAGGAGATGCTGCCCTCATCTCTCTCCAGCTAACGGGAGTCAGTCCTCACACCACCGTGGTCCTCAGAGCGGATGTGCCCAATCGCCATCACCTCAGATCAGAAAGAAAAAGACAGAATGTGGCAGCCATCTTGAGATGCCTTCAGCAAGCATGGTACAGTTTGAAACACTCAAGTCTACCGCACACCAGGAAAATGGGTGGAGGGCCATGGGGAGAGAGCGGCAGCTAGACCAGCCACGTGTGCAGGTTAGCCATCCCTACCCAGTCCAGACATTCAAAGTCTTTTGAGAGATGATGTTGAATAAGATTGGATTTCAGAGCATTTTACCAGGTGAGGGGCTCAACTGATAACGTCTATGCAAATGTCCCCAAATCCAAGACTCTGACATCTGAAATGCTTCCGTCTGGGCACGAGGGATCCTCAGTCTGTGCCAAGTGCTGCTGAGGGCACTGAGCTGCTCAAAAGCTGATTTAAGCTTCCTGTTTGCTTAAATATTTACTTATTTTACGTTTTCTGTATGTCTATGCTCCATGTGCACGCCTGGTCCCATGGGGTGAAGAGGGCTGAAGTTCTCAGGAACTGGGGTTACAGGCAGTCCTGAGCTGCTGGGTGGGTACAGCAAGTACTCTTTCCTGCTAGCCCATCTCTATACCTCCAATTCCACTTTTTAACTCTCTGGCTTACAACTGAGAATATGCCAGGTTTTGCATAAAATTTCCCTAATAAATATCTCTTATATTAATAAATGCTACCAAATCAGGTCACCAATGTTTTTACATCTTCAACTGGCAAAAAATAAAACCAGAGCAAATGGAATTCTTCTGATTATCCTGCCAGTGAGACAGCCTGGAGAAATGGCCATGTGTGAGGAGGCTGCATGGGGAGGCTGCATGGGGAGGCTGCACGGAGAGACTGCATGGGGAGGCTGCATGCTCACCTGTCTTATGCTTTAGCAAATCCTCTAAGATCTGTACCAACAAAAATGTGTACATGTCTGTGGCACAAGGCACAAGAATGCCCATGGCCCCACTACTCAGCCACCTGATGACCGTGCAGGGGCTCTGTACGTTGGAATACACTCGTGCATTGAAGAATCAGAGAGCAAAGGAAGTACAGAAACTAAAAAGTGCACGTGACAGCACGGTGACAGTCATAGTCACTGTCCTGCTGCTGGGAAGAGACACCATGACCACAGAGCTCTTAGGAAGGAAAAGCCTTTAATTGGGGATTTGATTACAGCTTCAGAGGTTTAGTTTAGTTCACTGTCATCACGGTGGGGAGCATGGTGACATGCGGGCAGACATGGCGCTGGAGAAGTCGCTGAGAGTTCTGCATCTGTATGCACGCACGGGCAGCAGGAAGAGACAGTGGCAGTGGGCTTGGCTTGGGCTTCTGAAACCTCAAAGCTTTCCCCAGTGACACTTCCTCCAACAAGGCCACACCTTCTGATCCTTCTCAAGTAGTGCCATTCCCTAATGACTACACACACACACACACACACACACACACACACACACCAGGCATATTAGAGCCCCTCAACAGAAACGCCACACTCCAGTGTCACAAGCTAGAACTGGCCATCCTCGAGAGCATGAGGGGCTTCCAGATGTGTTCAGTCAGCAACCTGTCTATTAAATTGTGTTCCTTCCCCTGCTTAAATTTCACTAAAAGTCCAAAAGTATATAAAATATTTTTTAAAAATGCACACAGCAAATGCAACATCCCCACATTAGGCAGAGCACAGCACTGCCTGCCCAATGGTGCCAAGGCTTCCAGAGTAAAAAGCAAAAGCAGCATTTAGAGCATGCCCAGCCATCAGGTATCAGCATGTCCCTCAAGGCCCCATGTGTACAACAGAGCTCAGAAAAGGAAGAGCTGCTCTCTACAGTGGTCACGGCCGTGCCCTTCTGGGCACAGCCCAGGACTTAGGGACACAGGACGAGGAGGGTGCAGAGACAATCACTCCATCAAGTGCTCTCTATAAACCACTGAATTCCAAACAGGGATGTGCTGTTGTGGTTGCCTCTGTGTGTGTGTGTGTGTGTGTGTGTGGATGTAAAAACATCACATGTGCTTGCAGAGGCCAAAAGATGCCATCAGATGACAGGTGCCCTCTGCCGCCCTCCACATATTTTCTGAGACATGATCTCTTATGGAACCTTGAGCTGGCTGCTTGGCTAGAATGATGATCGGCTAGAATGACTGGTCAATGAGCAGTAGGGATCTGTCTACCTGTTCCTCAGATGGAATTACAGACACACAAGCTAAGTATCATACAGGAATCCAGGGCCCTTACTCTCCCTCGGGGTACAGCTCGATCTTGTTCCTACCATGCTAAAAGCAGCTCAGGAAAGCCTCGCTTTCAGGATGGGGAGAAAGGTCTGTCATGACCTAGCCACCTTGGAGCTTTGTAAATCTTCCAGGCACTCAAAGGTGTTCACACCAGGATCCTCACAGGACTGAGAAGTCTGGGGAGTGGTGCAGATCCAAGCAGCAGACTCCACATCTGCATGCCCCTCTGTGGGACTGGGCAGGGAGGCTCATTTGAAACCCATCTCCCATGGGGCAAGATCTCCAGGAAGCCTGACTGCAAAATCTGGTGGTGCTACTGAAATGGACAGCGAGGTGTCAGCTGCCTCCCCGAGTCCCAGCTCTGTGACTGCTTGGACTGCCTTCACCATGTGCATCAATTCCCAGACTCACAGTTTAGGGAGCATCGATTTCATCTTACAGTGACTGCTAGCCCAAGCCACTGCAGAGCCACATCCAAGCTTTCTAGATTGAAAACACAGGCGTT